AAAAAAAAAAAAAAAAAAAAAAAAAAGCTGTTTGAGGTGGTCTTCCATAAACACTGGAACAAGGGTTATTTTTCCCCCCTGGGACATGTGTCAAAAGTCAATTTTTAAAAGGTAGGCTGGAGGAAAATGTGGCCTATCAGCTACTTCAGGCTCACTCTTCTGGCTGTACACTGTTCAAAATCTACAGAATTTATGCAGCATTAAGTTCTCTTTTATGCTTAAAATATACACATCTGAGGTATTCTGCAGATTTGTGTAAGGTGGTACTTGTGTCATATACCAAGAGGTATAAGCCATAGGTATCATGTCTATTTGAATACAGTAAAAGTGCAATTAGTTTTCTCTTGATGCTTCAGAAAGACAAAAGACATTAAAACAAAATTACCTATTGCCTTCTACAAATAAGCAGCACATTCATTAAAAAAGCCAACACACAAGAAATATTCCAGTAAAGAAGAACAAAATCCCTGTGTTCCCAGTAAGTATTTTTTTGTTTTTAACTTTAGGATATTTTCATTTAAAATACATCCCCAGTTGAGGAGTTAAACACCCCACTTGAATGGGATCTTACATGTCAGCATTACTGTACAAAATTAGGGATCTAAATAGCAGAGGACAGTTATTAAGTATCAGGATATTAAATGATGCCCCATGCATAACCATAAAAGGTATAAACAAAAATGCAGTTTACTGAAATTCATTATTTTCTGAGAATTCTAACAAAAAAAATAGTGGGTATCATATTGCTTCTGAAGATGTTTCTGCAGCACTTTAAAGGATACTGACTTAATAACATCTGGAACCAATTTTGAGTTTCCATGATAGGCCTAAAAATCTGGAAACATAATTTAATGACCCATGTACATTATAAGGAGATCGCAAACATTTATTTAGAGGCATATGTATTCCACAAAAAGCATTTACACACACACACAGCATTTTAATTTCACTGTTTGACCATATGTTAGCGTGAGCTGATATTAAAAGCCAGATTATGAACAGTTTCACTTCTAGATCATGAACTGTTTTTGTACTAAATCAATTCAAGGCCTTCTAGTTGCAGTGGCTGAGGTCAAATGAGAGCAGCTCTATATTTACTGGGCTTCACAAGTCAAACAAAGTGAACCTTGTACTTTTTATAAATAGTCTGGTCAGTGAATAACCATGATCTGTTCAAGCTAGCAATAAAATATATTTATCTATTTTTCTGACGGAAATTTACATTTGGGATTTATAAACTTCACTCTTAAGTACCAGCTTTGAAAATAATCAAATAGGTTTTGGGTTTTTTTTTTTTAAAATCAGACTTCTATTTTTAAGTTTTCAATTACACTAATGTGAATTCTGACATTTTAGTGAAGTTGAAGAAACTCAGAGCTAAGCTACAAAACAATTAAATTAGTTGATCTGATTATATTATATACAACAGTTTTAACATTGAAATGGTCCTACATATAAACTGACTCCTTTGTTTTACAATACAGCGTGTACAGGGATACCAAACTGCTGTTATCTGTATGTAGAGTAAGAAATCCAAGAGTCTCATAATTTCATATAAATCCGTTGATAAATTTGAAACTAATCCCACGTTGTATTATATAGTTCATGCCAATTTTCAAGAAAAAAATATGTAAATACAATGTCAAAGAAATTATATTAAATCTATATTTTCCAAAGCATACATTCTGTTTTTGCAGTAAAAATGGTAATTAGAAGAAACAAAGAGCAATACAGGGTTAGTAACAAAAAAATCTTGGGCAGAATAATCCCAGGTTTGGTATCGAGTAGCACAAGATTGAATATGGGAAAAAGTCTGAGAATTTGCCACAGGCATAAACATATTTCTTAGCATTCAGCAGTCACTAAGATCCATTAATAATAAAACTGTAATTATCCACATCACTAGAAAACTAGGATAACAAGGTTTCCACTTGGAAAACTATTGTTTCTAATCCTTGCAATTCATGAGCTACTTAAGACCCTAAAATTGCCCTTGGTGCCTTGTGGTAGCGATGCTCTCCAAGACTAAAGAAGAAACCGATTCAGACCAGTTTAACTTGTAATCCTTCATGTTATGCTACTTGTACATTAGTCTCACTTCCTGACTCAAGAGGCACAGAACTCAAAACCATTCAATTTACAGTCTCTTCCTCCCCATATTCAATTCACTTAAACACAAATGTTCAAAACCTTTAAGCTAATGCTTATTCTTAATTAACTGCAACCACATGTGAACAATATCTTTTATATACTAAGTGATATATGGTTGAGGCTCAGAGCCTGAACAAACTCCTACCTAGAACATTGCCTGAAGGCACTTCTTCTAGATCCTCCAGTTCTCTTCCCATCAGCAAATAGAGGTTTTCTAATATGCAACAGGCCATGTAAGGTACTGATGGTAGATCATCTGCAGCAGAACACCCCAATGGTAACTAGGAACAGAAAAGGTAACCGTAGTTATTTCTCAGTTAGCTCCAAACCATTAAAAAAAAATCTAAGCAATTTTTAATTTAAAAAAATTAACTATTAGAAAAAATTCTGAGAAAGTAAGATGATATTCACAGTAATGTACTTTAAGGATATACCTTCAGGTATAAGAATCATATATACACACACAAGGAGGTGGTGTTTAAAAGGAGAGTAGCTGGTCTAGAACAAAAGAATTTGAAGAAAAGAAGTCATTAGTTGGGGAAAAAATCCACATTTTCTTTTATTTTCTGTGTCAGTCTAGAGACTACTTACACATCAGAAAGGAAGGATTAGCATTAACAGATTTCAGATACTCAAATTCAAAACCTGTAACATGATTTCTTTAAGTCCTGAGCACTACAGTCTAACTTTGCCTGTAGTAAGCATGAGCTGCAGAAGCTCAAGCCCCTGAATGAGACCACAGATACTGCTTCTGAAAGTTTTGACCTAAACCTGCAATGCCTAAAGTGAACAAAGTAAAGCCCAAGTAGCTGTAGCAGATATTACTGGAAGAGATGTTCTCCATTTTCTCTGTCCTAGGAGAATCTACTGATCCAGTGGAATAAAGACTTTATTATTACCTTTCCACTACTGCAGTAAGCCTCTTGGATGAACCTCTTCAATCCAGTAAAAAAGGCCTAAAGAGAGTCCTGGTACAGAACAAACATGCTGACAACTTACCGCCATGAGCCGTCCCCACGATAAATCATTATGTACTAAGGTGCAAGCAGTGTGAACAATTTTCTTGGGGTGATTCAAATCAAGAAAAGGTAGAGCAAGTCTTTGTCATGCCTGAAATGCACTAAGGAACTAGGGGTTTTTTGGTTAAATAGTTGACCAATCCTGACATCTCACCTATGTGCAAAATACTGAAGAATAGAATTAAATACACAAACCTCTCTGAGCAGACAGCTCCTGGAAATAAAGCTCTGACAAATCAGTGGGACTCTTCCCAAATTTTCATGTCTCTTTCTATGATCTCTGTAGAACAGAGACATCAAAATCACACTTCCCTCTGTCCCACAGGCTGGATTTGGACCCACTTTGGTGGTGGGGTGAGTGGCATCAGAAAGCCGCAGGAGAGAACACAGCAAGCATGCACCTCCCATCTGGGTTCTGTATACTAGATTTTGATTGCAGGACCTGCCCCTTCTCCCTCCTCCCCTGAACTCCCAGCCCCTCTAAGAGCCCCATGGGCCAGATAACACGGCTGTACAGACCTTGTTTGACATCTCTGCTACGGAACATGTCGGAATGCTTCTTGGGGGGAACGGATGGCAAAGGATGGAAAGAACTGCAACACAACTTGGCCTTCAAAAGGTGGACTTCTGCTGCCAGAAGGGAACCTAAGTGTAAAAGCTGTCTTTCCCTCCCTTTCCTCCTGCCATTCCCTTCATGAGCATCCAGGCCACTAAATGAAGGCTACCAAACTGATGACCTGAAAGCCACGCATACCCCAAAGAGCACCTTGGTCTGTATCGGGTTTCCAAGTTCAAATAGGCTCACGAGCAGTGGAAGGAGAGCCAAGGTAACAGAAAGGCCTTGTTTGTTCTGTTTTTAGTAACTGATAAAGATTCTAATTGTCCACTGGGGATGCTGAAAAAACTGCTTTGTGCAAACACTTGTATACAGAGAATAACAGCTGCAAACAGTTCTTAGTGTACTGTCTCTATCTTCTGGAAGGGAGAAACTATACCAGTATGTATAAGGTAACACATTTTATTTCGAGAAAAAACTTACAAATATTTACAGTACTAGTTATTCTAAAAATTACATATTCACTTGCACAATAAACGGAGCAAAAACTGAGTGGACCGATGGGGTTCAAGAAAAATGCAATGCTTAACCAACACTAGTAGGGGTTAAGTATTAAAATTCTACATTTTTGCCCAAAATTGTGATCCTCTTAAGATGCCTCATACATATCTGAGAAAGCAACAACAAATACAATTTGGAATAATTTAACAGAAAAATAAATTACTCAACTCATTACATTAACTTTCATAATAACTAATGGAAATTCTATGATCACTAAGTTAAAACTTTTTAGTACGGCATTAAAAAAAAAATCTCTCAACAGATGGTTACCATAAGCAAGCAAATTTTTTTATTTGCTGTGGTTCATAACTAAGAATTAGTTCCCCTGTGCCTGGGTCACAATCCAATTATAAGCTATAAATCTGAACAAAGTGCTGGTTTCTAGTAATTTACTGAAGTTAACATTAAAAAAAGATTCTGCAGTTAAGTGTTACTTAGACTTGCATGTATATTTTCTGTTTGAAGACAAATATATACTATTCTATTTGTATCTTGTCTAATCTTAAATGAATTTAATACACAACTGAGTATCCTTCACTGGTCTGAAGTTAAACCAAGATTTCTAAATGTATTAACAACTGTCCCTTCCTCGTCATAAAAAGTGGTCTAAAAAGAAAAAGAAGTTGCACTCAAAAGTTCTCTCTTCATAAAAGAACAACAAAGAAACTTTGAATATTCCCGTACCCCACATTTTTCCTACTTATATTTTACATCGGCAATTCAGATTCTGTGGTGACTGATGAACTAGTGATGACTTCAGAGTCAAAAGAGTGAAAATTGAATAATTGAAAGGGGAAGGAATTTTTAGTCAAAGCAAAAGTGTGGATGATGAGAACTTGAATCTGACATTTTTAAGGAGAAGCCTGAAAATGAGAACTATACATATGTACTTTCAGATTGATTTTATCATGATAAAATGGCAAAAATGGATTAGAGCTCAATTTTTTTTTAAATGCTTTGCTGCTTATCTTTAAGCCACTATACTGGGTTAATTTTGCCATCTCAGAGGAAAAAAACATTATAGCCATCAAGTTAAGGTTTTTTATTAGGCTTTTTTCCCAGCAAAAATCAAAGGGTGCGCCATTATGAATGGATCCACTCAAAAGAAAATGCAGATGTAGTCCTTTGTGGAATAATTATATAAACCTTACCCAGGGCAATCTATACCTCTCATTTAGGAACAAAAAAACAATCAACATATCCACAAAAGTAATCTCCTATATATCTGGGCAAAATCTCAGTTTTCACAGATTAAAGTTCAGAAATTCTGATTTCAAAGCCACCAAAATGTAAGTATTAGCAACAAGCTGTCACCTAGACAACATACAACAATCAGAGACAAGTCAACTGATTGATGTAATCATATGAGTGTTACAAGTCACATAAAAAATAACTAATGTAACTTTTGACACACAATATATAGATTACATAGAAGCATACATTCTCAAATGGACATACAGGGCATGTAAAGCTACCAATAAATTTCCATTCTGAGATGAGGCTGGTAATAAATCAGATTTTTATGGAAAAGAAAAAGTAATCTCAAAATCTTAGCTCCTTTTACTGTGATACTTCGCGCAGGGGGAATCTACATGAGACACTTACCACTAAGCCACCTACACGCACAGACGTATTAGGCCAGAGAAAACAAATCAACTTTGCCATAGGTTATTACTGCCCAATTTGAGTACTATCTTATGGCAGAGTTATTTACTTTGCTGCAATGCACATGTAGATGGCTAGCCCTGACCTGTAGCACCCTCGCGCCCCAGCCAGCCCCTCCGCAGCACACTGAGCAGGGGTGGACCAGCTAAAAGCTGACCCCCTAGACCTTCTGTCAGGCAAGGCTGCACGGCCCTGGCTCAACATGCTGAGGTCCTGGGCACACATGTAAACGCTGTGCCTGGGAGCAATAAACTCCGACATGAACTACATCAAAGTTTATTGTGTCGTGTTCACTGCACATGTAGATATACCCACAGAGAGACATGCAACTTTACTCAAAGTTGTGTGTGTATCTATACAAAGATACTTCTCTTTTGCTACACCTACCCGTATAGCATGGGATGGATGCTACTTAAATTACGACAGACTTTCACCTTTGCTATAATCCCAGTTTACAAATTTGGGATTAAGGACATAATGCAAAACAGCCCTTATTGTTAGTCTAAATAGTAAAATTTTGGATACTGGTTTCCTAAATCACTCAGGTATTTTTTTCAAATTCCACATTAAATTATAATGAACAGCATCTGAAAGGATGTTCAAGTTATCAAAGTTAAGAAACAATATCAAATTAAACTAACATTCACTATCACCTCTTACCTTGTGCAAAGATTCAGAAGGATCATATTTTGGTCCCAGTACAAAGATCTTTTGCCCTTTTCGCACCACACCACTGAACACTCTAGCAAAGGCAATGAAAGACTCCTTGTTGTCTGCTTCCTGTTTCACAGTTTTGAGGGTCATAACCTCTATTTGACTGGTGAGCTGCTGCTCATCACCTAATCAAAGTTAAAAAATAATGAAGTGGAAAACTGTTTTCTGTAGCATTTTGAGCAAAAAATACTAATCAATCATGTAGAGTCCACATTGTGAGGGCACATTTGGAGAAAATAACTTAAGGTTTGGGCCTCGAACACAATTTTTGTAGCAGCGTAACTGTTTTGGTTGGGGTTTGATCTTGGCTTTTTTCCAAGAAATAGTTATACTGGTATAAATCTAGCAGGGTTAGATTGGCATAGAGGTGCTTCACACTGATGTAGCTTAAACTAATATCCCTTTTCATGTATAGTATTGTCTATACTGGTATAACCCACCCTTACAACAACAGCTACCTCAAAATTTGTAGTACCCAACTCATTCAACCCTGCTGCTGCTCTCCAGCCTCCGTATTTCCAGACCCATGGGGAGCCCTACAGGCCGGATGACACAGCTCTGTGGGCTGGAACTTGGTCAGCCCAGCTCCAAAAGACTTACTGCTTTAACTTACAGCATTACAAATGTGTATGTACACAAGTCTTAAGAAAAAAGCATGACGTAAGGACCACAAATTCAAGTTCTCTCTGGCACAAATCTGAACAACCACCACCAGACACACTTTTAATCAGACGATTTAAATATTTATAGGAGCTGACGGACGTTGGTCATAACAGCTTATAGTTAGCACCACTAACAACTAGGATTAAACTTTTCACTTATCTATAATCATGTATATGTACTAGGTTATTTCCATACAACCACATCTGAATTAAAAGGTAAGAGTAGTACTGACTGATTGATATGACTGGCTATTTACTTCAACCTTTCTCCCTCTCTCTCACATTTTTCTCCTCTCTCACCCCATCTCCAAGTTCTTCCCTTTACTTCCCTCCCTTTTTATCCATGCTGGATCTTGCTAATCCCACTTTCTTGCTTTTCTGTCTACTGAAGTCCCTCTTTACTAACGCCAACACAAGCATTTAAATAGCACACACAACAAATTGTGGCGCTAACAGAATATTTATAAATTATCACTCTGCAGGCATATTTTAGACCATTTTGTTACCTTGTATGTGCCTTGTCTATACATATTGTAAACTCTTTAAAACTGGGACTCTTATTCTTTGTACAGCACATAGCACAGGGAGTCCTGCCCTTGTTTGGCTCCTATGCACTATAATAAAGTTTAGCCCAATGAGAAAAATGCATAGCAAAATTCAGTCCCGCTATGTATGATACCTTTTGTCTCACCCGTCTTCCCAGTTGTTTCAGGTGCATTTCCACAAAGGGCCTTTTCTGGTAGCTCTTGGCTTTGAATAGCTGCCAATTTTTCTGCATGCCTTTGTCTTGCAAGCTCCCGCCTTTGAGCAATTTCTTCCTGTGTTAAAGGCCTATACACAACTTAAAATTATTAGCATTTGGAAACGATACTAATTTTCAAATAAATTAAATGAAGATGTATGCAATGCTATGTCTGAGGTAGGCAAAAATGAACTCAGTTTCCAAAGTTTTTTATTCAAGGTTTGTTACTAAGATATTTTAAAGGAGTAATAAAATATTCCATTCTTCTGCTCCACTAAGGAAGGCTCTACAAACTTTATACTTCTGGCATGGAATAAACCTACCTGATTTACAATAGTTCTGTGAATTATCATATTTTAGTTGAGTAAGTATGCAAGGGTTAAAACATTTACTTCCTCTTATGAAAAGTAGCATTCCACATTAATACGTTAGAATTATAGCTCTAAATAATATAGACAAGTAATCTAGTCTAGAAGCAGTTATACTAAACCACCACCACCAAATTGCAAAATGAATTAATTTATATTTAACCAGTAGGAAATATTTTCTTTTTAAGATTACCTGTACCATTTTTAAATCCAGCTTTAATTTCTTAGATAATACTGCAAACTACTAAGAGAAAAAAAGGTTTTGCTTGATATATCAGCCCTCATATCTGGTGAATATATACCCTAAATAACATGCAAAGAGTATAACTTAAAAAATCAGACTATAAACAGCTTTAAAAAAATTCTTACAATGCATCTTGGATGCAATAGTAGCTTTAGCAAAATCAATGGAAGTTTTTCCTTCAAGTCCAATAGGAGTAGTCTCTCCTCCTGCATTTATATTTCCTTCATGCACTATTAGATGTACAACCTCAAAACCAAATATATTCCTAATAATTTCTACCTGGTATTCAAAAGTCTCATGAAGTAAAGAGAGTTGGGCTTAAACAACCAAACAAAACTAATAATCTGGCATTACTTCAATTTAGTCCATACTGGGCATTTATCTTCAAAAAACTTGTTTTTTCTTTTTTTCTTTTTCTTTTTTTTTTTCCTTTTTTTTTAATACAAAGGAATGAATTATGAAAAAAAAATGAACATGACTGACCAGAAATGCCTACATTTCTTGAAGACCTAATGTCACATCATAAATCCTTCCGAAGGGTAATATAGGTATAACTGTTCTTAAATGCTATTATTTCTAACATTTTTACAGAGCTGTGGCTGATTTAAGTTTACTACAAAAGAATTCATTGCAGTATCATATATCACTGCAGCCTCTCACAAAACCTTCTGACGATAAGTTTTGCCACGCTCCCCTCTTCCCATGAAGCCTTTCTTTGATGCCAGTCATGAGCTGGATGCCTCCCAGCTCCAATATTGTTAGTGTGGCTGGCCCAACTGCAATTTGTATCTGCAGGGCATTTCTTTCCAGGACGCTATGAGCAATAATCAATAAAAACAGCTTCTTCTAAAACAGACAGTCCATTCCATACAAAATGTACATAGCAATCAAAGGTTTCTATGCTTACATCTTGCCCTCGCCATCTCTGTCAAAGCTTTGGTAATCCTAAATGGCTCAGAATCATGCCTCAGAGTTGCTATACGCTTTGTCTACATCTGGGCAGAAAGCAGCAACCTTCATGTAGTTTCTCTCTCCTTAAGCAGCTGCTGCCTGGTCCTTCCTTTATTGCAGTGATTCATAACAGAGATGCACTGATGCATCAGTCCGATATCAAATCAGTACCTATATGAAGAAAACTGTCTATATCAGATAAATACCCTGCTGTGCGCAGCTGCAGCGCAGCACAAAGCACAGCCGGCCATGTGGAGAGCTGCCTCCAGCTGGTAAGTCAGAAGAGAAGGGAGGGAAGAGGTATGGGGAGGCAGATCAACAGCCCCCCACAGTGAGGGGGCAAGAGCAGGGGCAGGTGCTGCCCAGACAGGGGGGCGGCATAGGACAGAGGCATGTGCCTTCAGATCTGCGTGGCACGGGGTGGGCGGCAGCTGTGTGGTGAAGCTGGTGCTGGTGCTGGTGCTGGCGCTGACCAGGGCTTTTCTTGCTGGGGGCTGGGCACAAAGCAGGCTGCAGTGGCGATAGGAAGAGGCTGCAGCCACCTCAAATTTTGCCGCAGCTCTGCTCCCAGCCCCGCACCACTGCCCACAGCAGCCTCGGCTTTTCTCGGTGGTTGGGTGGCAGTGGGGTATTCAGCCGGGGTTGTGCCAGGTGGTGGCATGGGGCAGGAAAGGCCTGCGCAGCGCTGGCTCCAGCTCCACCCCGCAGCTGCGGCCTGCCCCACCCCGCAGACCCGAGACCACACACTCCCCACCCTCCTGATGTGCAAGCAGCAACAGGAGCTGCCCCCACCCCATGAGCTACATCCCCTCTGCCCCCCCTGGGCTGCCTGCCCCTGCCCCCTCCCTCACTGCAGGGGGGTGTTGATCTGCCCCCCACACCCTTTCCTTCCACCTCCCC